CCCAGATCCCAGGGCAGGGGCTCAGCCACCGGCCCATGCTGTGGGGGGCCTCTGCCTAGTGAGGCGGGGGGTTGTGGCGTGGGCCCAGATCCCAGACAGCAGCTCAGCCACCAGCGCAATCCCTGGGGCACCCTAGCAAGGCCGGGTGCAGGGCTGCAGGGCAGGCCTAGATGGCGAGTTGGTTGGCGGTCTGAGGTGGGCTCGGGCTCCTACACCCTGATTATGGGTGCGTGGAGTCCGGAAGGCTCTGTGTGGCCACTGGTGGGCTTGGTTGGCTTCAAAGGATTCGGGGGAAGAGGGGGGTGCATGGGGCGTGGGAGGTCTGTGGGAGGAGATGGCAGAGGCCTGAGCTGTGGCCTCGGGGTTCACGGGGAGCTTGCGAGGTACCCACAGTGCGGTACAGACCCCCTCAGAGGTCACAGGTGTCGGGACTGGGCCGCTTGGGGCTGCCGTGTCTTACAGATTTTGAAGATGAATGGGGAGACTGGGAGGGGCCTCGATGGGACGTCCTATCCCCACCTGTGGATGCTGAAGGCAGAGGTTCTGCTGGAGATGAGCATGTACCAGCCTGCACGGCTGCTCCTGTCCGAGGCTCACCTGGCTTTCCAGGTGAGGGGCCCCTCCCAGCACACTGCGCACAGCTGAGGGGCTGCGGGCGGGAGCAGTGTTCGGTTCCAGGAAGCCCACCTGCCTCCGTGGCCTGGGTCCCGCGCGTCCTCTGTCTGTCGGTCCGGCTTTCGCTCTGTGACCCACGGTTTGCGGAAGTTTCTGTTTCCAGTACCTGCTGTGGTCTCTGTGACCGTGTCTCTCTGTGACCACATTTCTCTGTGGCCGCGTTTCTCTCGTGTGTCCTTGGCTCAGCTCTGCCTCCTGCCAGTCAGTTTCTTTCCTTCTGAGGCTGGACGAGAACTTGGAGAACCCCAGAGGGCGTCAGTGCCGAAAGCACCACTTTGTTCTAGAAGGCGGATCATGCGCAGGGCCGCCTGGTCCAGGGGTCGGAGCCTGGTCTAGTCTTGCTTCGTTTTGCCCTCACTCTCTGGATGCGACCCTTACTGTCCCCACCGAAAGCCCCAGGACATCTGCCGAGGCCCCGTCTTGTGGGTGCCGCAGCTGTTCTGTCTCAGCAGGTTCCCGCCTGGCTTTGTGAAATCCTGCTCTGCCGTGAGCAGCCCAGCCCAGCCCAGCTCACAGCCCCAAGGGGGAGTGTGGACCTCCGGCCCTTCGCCTGTGCCCCTCCTCCTGGGACAGGCCCTGCCCCAGCTCCAGCCCCCTCTCCTCCCCTGCTGCGCTCCTGCTTTCCCCGGGTTTCAAACCCCACAGGGACGGCAGCCCCAGGAGAACGCCAGGGTGGATGGAGGCCCGTGGGGGCTTCGCTCTGTGCCAGTTGTAGTTGCACAGGCCCAGCACCTGGGCGGAAATGAGGCTTTCTGGTACAGGTCCACTCCGACTCTGGCGGAGTTCTTGTCAGCACTGACTGCCCCACAAACCCACCTGCAGACACATGGTGACATCTTGTGTCCAGATTTTAGAGTTGCTTTCACTGGGAGGGTGAGGCAGAGCTGCAGAACCAGACAGCCTATCACTTTTTCTGAGAGAAGAACCTAGAAGGGTATAAAAATTCAGTGATGCCCATCAAGGCCTGGAGAGGTTCAGACTGTCTCTGGCACTGAGGGCAGGTGTGTGCAGGTCTCAGGCAGGGGACAGGTGTGTGCAGGTCTCAGGCACTGAGGACAGGTGTGTGCAGGTCTCAGGCACTGAGGACAGGTGTGTGCAGGTCTCAGGCAGGGGACAGGTGTGTGCAGGTCTCAGGCAGGGGTCAGGTGTGTGCAGGTCCCAGGCAGGGGACAGGTGTGTGCAGGTCTCAGGCAGGGGACAGGTGTGTGCAGGTCTCAGGCAGGGGACAGGTGTGTGCAGGTCTCAGGCACTGAGGACAGGTGTGTGCAGGTCTCAGGCAGGGGACAGGTGTGTGCAGGTC